ACAGCCTTGACCCTATTTCTCTGACTAGGAGCAGGTCGAGGCATTTCTATCCTTCAAAGGCAACACACATTGCTCCATGCAAAGAGGGGGTGGGTGGGTGGGTGGGTGGGTGTGTGTGTGTGTGTGTGATGCTAACTCAACTTTCTCTATTACCACATCAACAAGTGTTGACTTCTTCAGTGAATTCAGAATGCAATCTGCTCCCATTTAAAAATGGAGGTCAATCTAGTTTTACTTCTCTGCTGCATAGGTTGTGCTTTTCCTTGGCTATTTGGGTTCTGTCTAACGTAGTGTGATGGGCATAAATGTGCATCGAGTTCCAGGAATGACTTTGTTAATGGACACAGCAGTGTCGAGATGTAATTGAGTTATAATGGGACTAGAGCATTTTGCTTTTGAAGAACACTGTTGAGGCAAAATGTTAATAGCTAGTTTTTTTGGGAAGTACCTTTCCCCTTCAGCAGAACCATCCATGTCTAGAGGGAGATTGTCCTAGATGTAACAATCTTTTTTTGCTGCGGTAGCCCCATCTCTTTTTGGCTTCCAGATGTAATTGCTGGGATCTGATGTGAAGGGAGATACAGCAGTTTTATTATTTACAGGCCTTGCAGGAGGAGATGTGGGCATAGAAGTTAACTTTTAGTTGTGGGTTGGTTTTGCAGCTGTTTGTTGAGGTTTTTCTGCTAATAATAATAATTACAGTTGTAGACAGTTCTGATAATTGTTCAGACAGGACCTGAAGTCCCTTGAACTGGTCTCAGGCTATTCATCTGGCCTGCGGGGCCAGATGAATTTGACACCCTGGGCCTAGGATGTCCATGAACGGTTTAGAGAAGGCAGACCAGACTTTCCCGTTTTTACCCTTTTTGTGATGAAAGAACCCAAGTGCCTTCAGTGGAGTTGAAAAACAGGAATTTTTCCATGAATAAATCCTGTCTTTACACTTGTCACAACCAAATTAAGTAGTGCCCATGTCACAAACAAGTAAAACCATTCAAAACAGTTTTTTCCTGTACTAGGTTAACTAAGGGTTAACAATAATGATAGTAACAGTTTTTTTGCTGCGCATGTCAAAAAGAGATTTATAACTGCGACACTAACTAGAAATGAAACTTAGCCTTCTGTGCTGTACATAAATCATTATAATTGGTCAAAGAAAACAAGGAGTGACCCTGTGATAACACCTAGCAAAAAACCGCTATAATAATTGGTGATTCTAATTAAATTTATGACGTGGCGAAAAGCAATTGGCTAGTACACAAACAAAACCCCGCTGCATTTCTGTGTAGTCGGAGGAAGAGCGACTCCGTATACACCTGGAGACCTCTGACATAGGTGTTAGAGAAAACCGGCAATTTGATCACTTGCCAGTTCGTCCCCCCGTCTTCGACCTTCTCAGACGTAATCGACGACCCCGACCCGACAATTCTGCCCGACCAGTTTTGCGAACTGATTTACTTATGCAGACCGACCTGCGAAGCCTAAGCTGTAACTAACCAAGTATCTTTAACCTCCGTCTTTCACCACCTTGATGGAGTAAGTAAATAATCTTGCTTTGCAACCGATAAGCGTCCGCCTAATTAATTCCACTCCATGCGTCACAAGTACCCGCCTGATGGACCCTTAACTGCCTGGGTAGGAGTCAGGGAGAGCTGCTGGCTGGCTGCCCTGGGTCCCAACAACACTATGCATCCTTACCTTGTTCCCATGTGAGGCCAAGAGCTTTACGGCAACAAGGGCAGCCCAAAAAAGGAAAGGGGTTAACTCCAGTGTGGTGAAGAGAGGATTGAAACCCTCATGTTGTTCACCATAAGCATCCCTGAGTTGCCAGGGGGAAGAAGAAACGTGTCTGTGTGGACTGGAGGTCTCTGGCTGCAGCATTCTTTCATCTTCCTTTACTGGATCTGCTGATTCAAGACAGGAGGCTGACTTGGAGATGCAGTGCCCACCCTATTTTTATATGCTTTTGAAAAACACTTTTCAGGGATAGCCAAACTGGTCTTGTCCATCCTGCCAACAATTTCTTGTGGTTTAGATGGGGCCTGGTGGGAAGCTAGACTCCTCCAAAGCTACATGAGCTGGTTAATGTTTCACTGCCTTCCCAAGGTACTCCTTCTCTGAACTTAGCTATACTTAATGCAGCTGAGGTTTGTAAGCGATCCCAGACGAAGATGAATATTTCACGAAGACCCCGTGTAAGTGCTCTGTCTCTCTTTGTTTCCACAAACCGTTTGAAAGCTCTGTAAAGAAGAGACCCTTGCTGTTAAATATGCTAAATGGATGGCAAATTCCTTTCTCCTACTTTTTGCAAGGCTTTGGGGTGTTTGCTCTAGGTTTCTCTTCTTTCCTTCACCCCTTGCAAATAAATTAACAGCTCTGGAGTCTGAATAGGGAAGACTTGTGCCATACTTGCTTCTTAACCCTAAAAATACTACTTGCTTGTGGCCAGTGACTGACCATCTTTTATGGGCAGGTAAACTTTCCTTAGGGATTTTTTTGTTTTGTTTTGTTTTTCTTCTGGTAATGTGGTACAAAAGAACAGTCTAAGTGATTTGCTGGGCTTTGTAGATGAAATGTCTATGGTGGTATTGGACAAGAAGCAATGTGCTTTCAGAGCTCGTAGAATTCATGGTTCTTTTGGAGCGTAGGTTGCCTTCTGTGTTCAAATGATAAATTTTGATTGTTTCTTCCTGTAAGGCTCCATAGCAGCAGTGGGGCAATTCGGACTCTAACTCCAGTTCATGAGTTGAAGTGTGTCCTCTTTCCTTGGGTGTCTACGCTACTGACTCCTTCGCTGCTTTACCTACCCTAATAGTGCAGGATAGGAGGATGTCATCGTGGTGACCTTTCATGAAAGGCCTGGTTTTCCATGTTTTAGGGGGTGTAGGTTGTAGCTGTGTTGGTCTAAGGACATAGGCAGACAAGGTTCTTTGAGTTGGTCTAATAAAAGATACTGGATTTACTCAAAGAACCCTGTCTCTCTCTGGTCTAGCATTTGAATGGGATCAGGCATGTACATGCAGAGTGGGGTGGGCTGTTGAGAACATGCCTGATGACTAGTTTATTAATAAGCTGCTCATGATGTTGAAAATGTCTTCTGAGACCTGCAGTAGTCAGTCCAAAATACTGTTTACGGAGCCTGTTGCTGAAAACCACATTTCTGCTGGTTCTTTCTGACTCTGTGGCCAGATATCAACCTAAACTATAGACCACAAGATGTGAGCATTGAGCTCGGTGATGGCCTCTTATGATGTGCTGAAAACAGTCTCTTCTGCACATTGTCCCTGCTGTGAACTGAGCCGAGGGGCCAGAGTGAGAGAGACTATGTTGCCTAAATCCTCCTTGCATGTGCAAGCCTGTCTTCAAAGGGCCGTGTAGCACCCAGAAAAGAAGTGATAGTGAGAAAACAGCCTTATTTCTCCAAATGCTCCATTTGGCCTTATTGCAGTAGGAATTACTTTGGTTCCCACCCACCCACACATCTTAAGTGAAAATAAACTCTACTTTTTGGGGGATTACGCTCCCAAATTTTGTACAGCATAGCTATGGTAACATGCAGGAATGTTTTAAGTAATGGCTTGGGAATTTCCTCTACAGGCTGTACTACACCAGGGAATGTTTTTAAGTGCTCATGCATGTTCTCTGCTTAGCACTTCCACTTATGTGATATAATGATAACAACAGGTTTGCTGCCTTCCCACAGCCTGCTTCCAGAGAATTTGAAAAAGAAATGGTGTGAGCATGTAATAATTGGTGTCAGTAACAATAATAATGCATTATGATGGAAGGGTGAGATGATCTTGGGGGGTTAAGGGACTGGATTTGGATGCGGAGTTGGGTTCAGTTCTCAGTCCCTCTGATATATTGCACAAGTTGCTTCATCTCGGAGAGCCTGAGAGACAGTGACTAGTTTGAAATCACGCGGGGATTCTGTCACTGGGCAGGGAGTTGAGCCTGTATCTCCTGAGCCCCAGGTATTTGCCCTCACTGAGTCAACCTTCCTCCTTTTCCCCACTTTGCCTATTTGGATCCTAGTTTTTTGAGACGTAAATGGTTTCTTGCTAAGGTGAGTACTGTGCCTAGCACAGTGGGGCTCTGATCTCTTTTGGGGCCTCCGGGCATGCCTGGAGCACACGGTAACCATCTGAACTGGTCCCTCGGATATGTTACAGCACTTGCTTCCTTTAAACTGCTTTTGCTTGAAGACTGAAAATGATCCTGCTGTTAGGGTGTCAGGTTGAGCAGGCTGCTGCTGCTGCTGTTATTTTTTTAAGAGAACACTTTGGGAGAATCTCCTCCAAATTAATTTTCATCTCTCAAAGTCAAGATATTGTCTCAGATTCCTAATCACCTCCATCCTATTTCTCACTTGCAGGGCTGGCCAGAAATTGCCTCCTTTTTAATTTCTGAACATTGATGGTAAATATGGAAAGGCCAGACAATGAAAGTACTTGTCAGGAGCAATACAGTTGAGCAGTGCTCAGGAGTTGGCTTTGTGTTCTTGTGTGAATCTGGGTTCTAATACAGTTTGCTAAAGTCAGTGCTTCAGTAGCTGCCAGTGCTCTCAACTTCCATCGTTCAGCAAAGGCTGAGGTATATTTTGTCTTCCTGATTTCTGTGGAAGGCAATGTTGCTGTCTTGTTTTCCAGATTTCTTTGTCATAATGGAAACAAATGGAGCAATAAGAGACAATGTGGCAGCCTAAAGTAACTTGCATAATGGCTTGTTACTATTGATATGTTCCTTCTCAACTTTGATTTCTCTAATTGAGAATTTGCCCCTCCAGACCCTTAATTTCACTGAAGTAACCACATAACAGATGAAAGCTGCGGTGCTGGGCTGCTCAGATATGTGCTCATTGTTGCTCTGATGGTAGCTGCTGAATGCCCTCCTCGCTCTGCCCATGCTGTGAAAGCAGCCAGAAGTAAAGTGACAAGGCTCGGAAGTAAAGATCAAGGAGTTTCTTTGTTACTGAATAAGACGTTTCACATCTTCTGCAGGTGGATTTGCGATCGTATTTCTTGTGAGGACTAACAATGGGATGAAATGTGCTTTGAAACGAATGTACGTCAACAACGAACACGATCTGCAGGTCTGCAAAAGAGAGATTCAGATCATGGTAAGTCATGCTGTCAAACTACGGGTCCAGAAACATTAAAGAGCTGGCATGTATCCGTATTTAAGACTTCATACAACAGCTTGTCCTTTGTGGGTATGAACTTTTACAGTTGCAAACTCTATATCTCTCCCAGTGTTGGGTGGATTTGCTGACAACCCCAATTTTTGGAGCCATGGTGTGAATGTCAGTATTACTTTTACTGAAGTAAGTTTCTAGCCCTCCCATTTGAGAGAAAAACATGGAAATACGAACTTTAACCATATCGGAGAACAAAAAATTAAAAATAAACCAAAAATATTCCTAAAGTTACATGATTTTTAAATTAATCTCCTGATTGGGAGGGGAGGGACTTAAAATAAGTAGACAACCTTGATGGGAGAGTGGTAGTACTGAGTTAAGTAGCATTAAACCTGAGCAGTGTTTGAGTGAAAGATCTATAAGACTTTCTGAATTTTTTTTTTTTTAATCTGAACAGGCTCCGCCCTTGTTTTGGAGTGAAGACTGTGAATACCGATGAGGATGTTGAGTAAAAATGCGTACATTGTGCAGCCATTGACAGGGCTTTTAGAAAAAGAACTGATTATAGTAATGGTCTCAAGATGTCTCTCTGGGATGTCAAAAGAAATTGAGCCATGTTTCAGGCCAGTTGCAAGCCTAATTTGAATAATTTGTGTGGATGGTCAGGGCTAGTCTTAAGGTTCTGCATCTGATCCTGATTTCAACTTGGTGTTCATTCATGTTGCCATTTTTAAAGGCTTTTTCCTTGCAGCTGCTCTAAAAGTTCACATCAAACACAACTTTATCCCCTGGAGAATGTAGAAACTGATTGCAGCCTTTTGAAAGAAGACATGTATGATGAAATCCCTTACCTGTAGTTACTACAGGTCTTCTGGTGTTGCATGAACCTTGCACATCTGAATGTAGTTGTCTGGATATTGGCTACAGAGAATTAGCTACGGTTTTAAACTAAGGTTTGATCTGGCATCAAAGGCTTTCAGTTATGCCCAGAAAGAAGCTTGTTTTCCTGGGTTTGATATGGCCATGGCTCTCCTCTGCCTGGGAAACTCCGCTATCTGCACCATGTCATTTTGAAGCATGGCAAACTTGCAAGTTACTGAAAATCTCAAGTGTCAGGCACCAGGCACAGCCCCCTCCCTCCCCCCTCTCCCATATTCTGCCCTCCTTTATGCCTAGGTAAACTCAAGGAAGGCAGCAATGGCAAGTGAGGGTATAATTTGAGAACAACAGTTGCAGAGCTCAGATTGTGGAGAATTTTGATGACTGGTAACACTCTGAGGTGATGTTGTCCAGGGAATAGAGAACTCAGCTTGACTCTTGCATTCTGTTTGCAGAACTAGGAATTGGCAAGAAGTCTCTCTCTCCGTGTCTGTGGAATGTGTATGATACGGAAATACTGAGAAAAAATAAATGTAGGACTCCAAATATGTTTTACCTGCACTGCTCCACGGAGCAGATCTGCTTGCTTCTTTTAACATTGGCAGTTCTGTCCTGCGGGTGGCCAGAGGAGTTGGGGAGGAAGAGGAAATGCACCCTATACTATACATGGCCAGTGCTATAACGGTCTCCATCTCCCACAAGTGCAGAGAAGGGCATGTAACATAACAAGGTACTCCTGAGTAATGAAGGGACAAGCCATTCCCATGAACACATGCTTGAGCGAACTACACAGTCATTGTTTCAGGAGTCTGGGCCACTTACTATTTAAGGCCGCTTGCCCTAAATCAACCTGGGCAGGAAACCAACTGAGACTGTCCTGAAATGTTTCTAATTTCTGCATGATGATTAATCCAATGTGACTTGTTGCTTAACACAGCTGACTAGATAGCTGAAGCACTAGGAAGTCTGTGCTGCACAGATGACCCTGTTAAAGTGTAGCTGCTATATCTATGGATGTTTTGTGCTTTGAACATCTCTCTTCTTGCAGAGGGATCTATCTGGACACAAGAATATTGTTGGATACATCGATTCTAGTATAAATTCAGTGAGCAGTGGTGATGTGTGGGAAGTTCTGATTCTCATGGACTTTTGCCGAGGTAAGTGAGCTCAATATATTGCTGATTTTTGGACGATTTATTCTTGCAGGAAACTTGGTTTTCCTGCAGGAAAATATTTGTCGGCTCAGCCCTTCCTTAACATCCAGTGAATAATTCCCAGCCTAGGTGCTCAAGAATCCTGCATCAAGCTTAAGTGCAAAGAGACATAGAGGGTACATGAGAAGAAAGTGTGGCTGCCCAAAGAACTGCTAGCACCTCCTTCCATTAGCCAAGAAATTTGTAGGTCCCTACACTCCGTGGTTCTGACAGTACTGGTTTTCACTGACTGCTTCCACGTGGAATAAACGGTCTTAATTTTTCTTATTGCTGGTTTCAATCTCTGCATACCTCTGCTTGATCTGGGGATTTCTTGAGATGTCCCAAATCAATGTTCTTGAGCAAAAAAAATAATCTCTTCGCCCCTGTTCCCTGGTCTGCCAAGATGCTGACCAACAAAACCTTCCAGACGCAACTTAACAGCGAGGTTTTCCATCTGTTCAGAAGCTTTGATCTCTTTGTGAGGAGAATCGTTTGAAGATGTGGGATTTAGAAGTTGACTCATGCACTGTGTTCAGATGGGTCTCGCAGGAAGATGAGAGCACAGCATTAAGCAAAGAGGAATTGCACTGTGGAACCTGGTGGCCCCACAACTGAGTTTGTTGGAAGCAACTGATGGGGAATAAGTGTTATTGGCCTAGCCAACGGCTTCCCATCAGTGTCAAAGGGGCTTATAATAGTTCTTCAAACAGGCATAGCATATTCTCATGTGTAGTCAACTTCCTTCCATGTTTTATTTGGTACAGGATTTTTGACTGGCTTGGTTAGGAATAGTTCACTGAGGTGAAGGAAGGGTTGGGCCTATGAGGAGCTTTCCGAAAGGAAATATTGTTCTGCTTTCCTTCATGTATATTCCCAAAGCTTGTGGGGAGCGTTGTAGGGAAGAGGCCAGTCAAAGCCAATTATCCCTGTATCCCTCAGTCTATAAAAAATCATGCAGGTACCTCTGGGAGGCAGAAAGACCTCAGGCTTTCCAGCCGACCCCTGTGATTTATGCCTTGGTTCCTGAGAGGATAGTGTTGGCGTGGTTTCTAAGGCATCACCTCTCCTAACTGCACAATAGGGAAGTTTTAAGAGAGTTCTTTGTCAAGTATAGTACCTTAATGTTGCTACACTCTGAACAACCTAATAATTGGCTGATGAGCCTGTTGAGCACCAGTACTATTTCTGTTTTTTACTTTCAGTGTTTAGACTGAATCTGAAGCAGCTTTATGAAAGTCTATTCAGCTGGTTAGTGGACTCGTGCCCGGTTTGTAATAGGTGCTCAAAGGTTGCCCTGTGTTTGAGACCTTGATCCAAATGCCACATAATGCTCTGAAGGAGATTGAATTGAAACTGCCTAACTTAATCTCCTCTGGGTGGCTAAACAGTTCTAAACATTTTAGTTCAAATTTTATGAAAATATCAGATTTCCTGCTGTTGCTGCCTTCCTCCCTGGCAGAGATAGCAAATGATGTTGTTCATTCTGCCTTCATCAGTAGAGACTGTGCTCCAATGTAAGCACACAAATAGCCATGACATTTAGCATGGTTGCATAGTATACCTATGTTAGAGATGCTTTAATTCCTTCTAATATTCATACCTAAGTGATGCTGGTTTCCTTTTCTATAAGTTTTTTTTTTTTTTTTTTTTTTTTTTTTTTTTTTTTTTTTTTTTTTTTTTTTTTTATTTTTTTAAGAGGGTTTTTTGTTTTTTTTTTTTTTTTTTTTTTTTTTTTTTTTTTTTTTTTTTTTTTTTTTTTTTTTTTTTCTTGTTGTATTGAATTTTCCAAAGGGACTTTGAGTTTTTGGCTGCTTAAGCTGAGATGCCTGAAAATGGCTTTTTTTTTTTTTTTTTTTCCAGAGGGCATGTATACAAACTAAGCTGAGGCACCAACAATTGGTGCAAAAGATCACACAAGTCTTTTTTCTTAAGGCTCCCCTCTATACCAGTATTGTGAAGCAGGTGGTAGGAGCACAGATTTGGTTTTTTGGGGGGAGGTCTTTTACTCCTTCTCCTCAATCTAGCCTGCATGTACCAACAGGGTAACAAGCCATGTTGTAACCTAGGTATCGAAGAGTAAAACTGTTAGTTTGATCTGGCAAGAGTACTCTTATATTCCCAAGGGAAGAAAAGAACTTGGTTTAGGCAAAAATACGTTTGGACATCATCATTTTTACTTGGAGTACGTGAGGGCCTTGGAAGAAATTTCAGATCTTGGCAGGCTAAAATCTTCAAGCACTTTCCAAACCTGAATTATCATGTCAGGCTTTATGATAGGTACGCAAGGTGTTTGTTTTTACTGAGTGGGAGGGAAGTGAAGCCGAGATGTCTAAGTAGGATGCCAGAAGTCACAGAAGAGAAGAGAGGCTTTGTCTAGCCTGCAACTAGAACAGTAAAGCCCCACCTCTCTAAATACCGCTAAAACAAGGTGTATTGGTGTAGGCACTAGATCCTAGCTCCACTGCTTCCAGCTGGGGATGTCTTGTACGTTGAGTGCTGCTTAGATGCGTACTGAGCTGGTATCAACGTGGTTTAGGATGCTTTGGAGAACCTGACTTCCTGTGACCAGTGCATCTTGACTGCATCAGATCAGATTTAATTTTTGCCCTGCTTATCTTCCAGGGGGCCAAGTGGTGAATCTCATGAACCAGCACTTGCAGACTGGCTTCACGGAGAGTGAGGTCCTGCAAATCTTCTGCGATACCTGTGAAGCCGTAGCCAGACTGCACCAGTGTAAAACGCCAATTATTCACAGGGATCTAAAGGTAACTCCCAGAGACTGGTCGTAGAGGGTGGAGCTGTTTGGGTAGCTTATTCTGCTGTGAGCCTTTGGGAGTGAGGATTGTCTGTTCTCTGGACAGTGCCCAGCAGAGTGGGGCCCCACTCTGGACACTATTTTAAGGTTTCCGTTGTTAGTAGGCAGAAAAATGTGTTCAGGAATAAATTTGCCTGTTAAAGGAGAAAAAAATCCATTGCTTGCCAGATGTTTATTGATCTGTTTCAATAATGCAGCCCTTTGTGAATAAATATTTCCCCCCAAAATCTGCCAAAATTTAACCAGATAAATTATCCACAATGAATTCTAACCAGGAGCAATGGAGATCAGTGCATGGGCTCCACACTTCAGCCTGTCCCCTGAGTGCTTATGTAACACACTGTGAAAGACTATAGAATAGAAGTGGGGATTTTTGTAAAGGCTCCACATTAGTAGCTTAAGTTGCTGCCTACTGAGTGCATCTACACGAGACATTTACTGCAAAGCTAATTAGCTCCTCAGTAATGTATTAGTGTCTACATGTTCAGTACTATCAGGCCAGAGTAAACTAATTAACTCTGCCGTAGGATAGTACTGCCCAACACAAGTGCTATCCTATGGCAGAGTTATTTGCTTCTCTGCATTACACATGTAGACAGTGACCAGGGCTGGCTGGGGCATGAGGGTGCTTCAGTGCAGGGCTGCCTGCCAGCTAGCCCCGCACTGTAGCATCCTCATGCCTCAGCCAGCCCTGCTGCAGCATGTTGAACCAGGTCAAAGCAGCCCTGAGCTGGCAGGTTGACCTCTGCGGCCCCCGTGCCAGCCAGGGCTGCTCTGGTTTGGCTCAATGTGCTGTGGTCCCGGGTGCACATGTAAACGCTACACCCAGGAACAATAAACTCTGACGCAAACTGCACTGGAGCTTGTATCAAATTTTACATGTAGATTAACCCATTGAAGCCCACGGTGAGACTTCTTTTGACAGTGATGAGAGTAGATTTGGGCCGATCATGAGGGCTGTGGAAAAATCCTATTCTGAAATAACGAACCAGAAGATAGTTTCATAGTTGGTAGGGCCAGAAGGGACCTGAGCAGATCATCAAGTCTGACCCCCTGCCATGGGCAGGAATGAATGCTGGGATCAAATGACCCCAGCTAGGTGATTATCAAGCCTCCTTTTGAAGACCTCCAAGGTAGGAGCGAGCACCACTTCCCGTGGAGGTTGGTTCCAGATCCTAGCCGCCCTGACTGTGAAGCAGCGCCTCCTGATGTGCAGCCTGAACCTATTCTCAATCAACTTGTGGCCGTTTGTTCCTAGTTACTCTGGGTAGTGTTTGGGGGAACAGGGCCTCTCCCATTCCCTGCTGGTCCCCCCCGGTAAGCTTAGCCAGCCACTAGATCCCCTCTCAGCCTTCTCTTGTGGAGGCTGAACAGGGTTAGGTCCTTTAGCCTCTCCTCATAGGGCCTGCTCTGCTGCCCCCTGACCATGCGAGTGGCCCTCCTCTGGACCCTCTCAATGCCGTCCACATCCCTCCTGAAGTGCGGCGCCCAGAACTGGATGCAGTACTCCAACTGCGGCCTGACCAGTGTCGCATAGAGGGGGAGGATCATCTCCTTGGACCTGCTTGAGGTGCATCTGTGGATGCACGACAAGGTGTGGTTAGCTTTACTGACCATGTCCTCACATTGGTGGCCCATGTTCATCTTGGAATCAATAATGACTCCAAGATCCTTTTCTGCCTCTGCTGATGAGAAGGGAGGTCCCCAGCCTGTAGGTCTGCTGCTGGTTCTTTCTCCCCAGGTGCAGTACTCTGCACTTGTCAGTATTGAATCCCATCCTATTCTCATCCACCCACCCCTGTAACCAGATCTAGTTGTAGACTGTCCCTCCATTCTAGTGCACCCACCACTCCCCACATCTTAGTGTCATCTACACATTTGAACAAGGTGCTTTTTACCCCCTTGTCCAAGCCGCTGATGAAGAGGTTGAACAGTGTGGGCCCGAGGACCGAGCCCTGGGGGACTCCACTGCCCACATCCCCCCAGGTCAAAAATGACCTGTCCACCACCACTCTCTGGGTGCAGCCCTCTAGCCAATTTGTGACCCATCTGACTGTATAGGTATCAATGCCACAGTCCCCTAGTTTTTTAATGAGAATGGGGTGAGAGACAGTGTTGAAGGCCTTCCTAAAGTCCAGAAAGACTACGTCCACTGTGACACCTGCGTCCAAGGATTTTGTGACCTGATCGTAAAAGGCTACCAGGTTGGTCTGACAGGACCTGCCCCTAATGAACCCATGTTTGTTGCCCCTGAGCATAATCTCCCCTGCTGGTCCCTTGCAGATGTGCTCCTGGATAATTTTCTCAAAGAGCTTCCCCAGGACTGAGGTAAGCCTAACTGGCCTATAGTTACCTGGGTCCTCCTTCCTCCCTTTTTTGAAAATGGGAACCACCTTGGCCTTTTTCCAGTCCTCTGCGTGCTCTGGCCAGGTGCCAGAGTGGTTGTAAAGCCGTGTCAGGGGCCCTGCAATGACCCCTGCCGATTCCCTCAGCACCCTGGGGTGGAGAGCATCTGGACCTGCTGATTTAAACAAATCTAGCCCCACCAGAAGATCCCTAACTAGGTTCTCCCTGACCCTGGGCCCAGCTGTGCCTCTCCTGAGTCCATCCAGGATCCCGGTGGGGTGGGGGGGATGTCCCTGCCCCTGCCCCTGTTCAGAAAAATGGAGGCAAAGAATTGGTTAAAGAGGTCAGCTTTATCATCTGGTGCAACCACCAGATTGCCAAACATGTCCTGCAGAGGCCCCACGTTACCTAGTGCCGCCTTTTTACTCCCTATGTATTTAAAAAAGGACTTCTTGTTATCTTTGATCCTGGTCGCTAGTCCTACATCCGCTTCCGCCTTAGCTTTCCTAACAGCCCCCCTACAGTCTCGAGCAATGGAGATATAATCCTCCCTGGTGATTAGCTCCTCCCTTCCACTGGGTGTACGCCTCCTTTTTAGCTTTCAGGTGTTCCTGAATGCCTTTGGCGAGCCATGGGGGCTTTTGAGCAGTCTTGCCCCCTTTCATTCGCATTGGGGCTGTCACCCTTTGGGCTCGGAGGATCGTCTCCTTAAGGAACGACCGCTCGTCTTGGACTCCCAACTCCCCTCCCCTCCGGGACCTCAGTGCTTCTCCTACTATTCTCCTTAACTCATTGAAATTGGCCCTCCTGAAGTCAAGGGCTACTGCCTTGCTGCAGGCCTTTGACACCCTGCGCTGGATAGTGAATTCCAGCAGGTGATGAACACTATCGCCCAGGTGGTCGAGAACCCGCAGCCCCCTCACCAGGTTGTTGCCTGTAGCCAGGACCAGGTCCAGCAAGGCATTTCCCCTGGTGGGAGTGTGCACCTCCTGGGTTAGGTGGAGGTCCTGTATCTCAGCTAGGAACCTACGTGAGTGGTCATACCTGGCTGACTGCTCATCCCAGCAATGACGACCACATCCTTTGACTTAACTGTGAGCTGACCTGAGAATTCCTGGTTCAGCTCTTCCCCTTGGTTGGGTGGTCTGTAGTAGACCCCCACCATTAAGTCCCTTTCCCCCCTCCTCCCCTTGTATTCTTACCCAGAGCACTTCAGTCTGCCCCTCCTCTGACTCCGTCTTGTTTGTTGAGGACGTGTATTGCTCTTTCACGTAGAGTGCCACACGCTCACCTTTCCTCCCCATTAATATCCCGCCTGTACAGTCTGTAGCCCCTAATCTTTACTGCCCAATCATGGGTTGAATCCCACCAGGTTTCAGTGAGCCCTACTATGTCCAGATTTGTGCTAGCTAGCAGGAGGGCAAGTTCCTTCTGCTTGTTCCCCATACTACAAGCATTAGTGTAGAGGAATTTAAGGCCTCCTATGGGTGCTTGCACCACCCCCTTGATCCTAGGACTATCCAGACCCCTGTCACTTACCTGGGTACTTCTCGTGCTCATCACCTGTCTTGGCTGGGAAGTGTCCTTGTGTTCCCTGTGGCCCCATCCCCCGGCGAAACTAGTTTAAAGCACCCCGTACCAGATCAGCCAACCTGGAAGAGAAGACACGCTTGCCTTTAGGGGAGAGGTGAAGCCCATCCCACCCGAGCATGCCCCCTGCGCAAAAATGCGGGTCATTGTCAAGGAATCCAAGGCCTGCCTGGTAGCACCAACTCCAAAGCCGCCAGTTGACCACTCCAATGCAGGCCTCATGGCACTGTCTGCATCTACTTACTAGGAGAATAGAGGAGAATACCACCTGTGCCCCCATCTCCTTGAGCTTGGCCCCCAGGGCCTTATAGTCCTTCATGATGTGGTCTGGACTGCTCCCGGCGGTGTCATTCGTTCCCACGTGGATTAGGATAAATGTTCTGTTCAAGGTCCTCTCCACTGGCTCTTAAAACACTCAGATAAAATCTTCAGCTGAAGAGCAACCTCGTGTACATTTGAAATTCAAATATACTTTGTGGGTCAGGCTTTGTTTCCAGAGCTGATGTTTGTTCTGCGCCACTGGTCATTTTTTTGTTTAGACAGAGAATAGAATTGCCTGCATTTTAAAGGAGCCAAGTAAGTGGTACCATTTGTGCTTTAGGGCACTTATAACATTTGTGACCCACAGTGCAGTTTGCACGAATGCAAGCAAGGTATCTGAAGTAGGTGGCAGGAGGGTCTGAATTTCTTAGAAAGTGGAACAAACCAGTTTTTGGTTTGGTTTTGTTTTTTGCACAAGCTAAGAGTCTGCTTCAAAGACCACTGACGTCGAGGAGAATCTGTCAGTGGTTTGGATAGGAAGGCTTATAAAATCTAAATGGGAAGATGAAATTCAAAAGAGAAACTTGTTCAATAGCTATTAACCCCTTCTGCTACCTTTTGGCTTTCATGTAATTTATTTGTGTACAAAGAACATATTTTTTATGTAGTCTGTCAATAAGTCTGTGATGGATTTCTGAGCTAATCCTCTGTATACTCTCTCTGTTATGTATTGAGAGTCACAACTGGATGTAACCATTGCACTCTGACAGCCAGTCTATTATCACCTAGCCTAAATCGTTCAGGTTTCTACATCAGAAGCCTGGCTTTTCCTTGATGATTAGTGTGTGTTAGGGGAAATAGTTGTTTGTGCTCTGTCTTGGGATACCCACACAGTATTCATGTTGTTTTATTTTATTTTTTTAAAAGGTGGTTGTTTCTAAAAGCCAAGATCAAAACTGGGGATGTGATGTATATGCATAAAAACAGTTCCTGCCTCAGAAAGCTTGCTGTCAGAGCAGAACAACTGGGTTTGAGAGACTGGGATGGAAGGAGCTGAAAAATATGTCACTATTGAAAATGCTCAAGAGCCATAATGCCACTCTGTATCCTCCCTTCTTCTCCCCCATTTCAAGAGAAACTAGTCTTGGTGTCCCCAGGAGTCCATTTTTTTTCCTGGAATTGTTTTCATTGTTGTGGCTCATTGACGTAGATAGTAGGAGACTCTCTATCGAGTGCTAAGAAACAAAAACACTATTACCAGTGTGCTTTTATGTAATTCATGCACAGATCTCTGCTTGCATTCTGCTATTCCCTTCCTTTCCCATTTCATTCCCCACAACTTGGAATTTCTAAAGTACCTGTTCTGTGCTGTGTCAATACAGGTTGCCTACACAACAGGACTTTAATGATAGGCCCTGTGCTTCTCTTAGTCCAAACCCAGTAAATTCTTTGAGCAAACAAGCTTGCAGAGGAGGCTGCATTGATAGAGACTTGGCTTGTTCCCTTTGTAGCAGCGATGTGGCAGGGTATCACAAAACAATGATCTGATCAATACAAGTGATACTGGTGATCTAAAGGCCATTCCTTTTAGCCTGAGTGCTAGAAGAGCCAGAGTCTGTCTGGCACTCTTAATGCTATGGACTGCTGGTATTTATTTATTTATTTTAAATCTTGGCACTAGTCCTCCTGATGTCATACTTGTGATGCTGTGCGACTAGGCAGTCTGAAATTCTGGACAGCAGTGCAGTTGATATTATTTTATTTTTCACTAGACTGTCACCTTGTCCCATGCCTACCATACTCGCACAAACATCTGTATCTGGAATTAGTTTCTAAAGTCTTGTGTTTTCTGGTTAGCAACGTGTATTTTAGAGTTCAATATACAATAAAGCTTTATTGGCCTTGTTGATAATCCATGGTATACCAAAATTATACAATGGTTCTGAATATTCTGGAGGCGTTTGTATATATGGTTTTTATTTGCTGTGACTTGTTGTGATTTTCAAAGGAAACTTTGGATTCTTGGCATGCAGCACTTGAAAGGATCCTGTTGTGCAGAAAGTTTTGAGCCTCTGTTTTCTGAAAAGCAGATCTGCTCGCTCTGTCACTTGAGTGCCTTAAATCCCAGCACCTACAATCCCAGTTGAAGTGTGAGGGTTTAGGCCACATTATCAGTTGCAACTTTCAGGGCCTAAAACTGCTGCTGTCATTAGAGATGTGGGCAATGGCTGCCTACTGTTTTGCCAGCTAAAGAAAATACTAGTCTACCCCAATTTTAATATATGTGGTGTTCTGATCTTACCTTTTTCTCTTCCAGCTTTAGCAGGGAGTAATAGCTGCCTCTGGGTTTAAAGTTGGAGATGGCTGTCTCTCTTGGTTAATAAGGCCAAAGAGACTTGAAGCTTTCTCTCTCAATTGTAGTATCTAAATCAGATTTTAGAAGAGCTGAGTGAGCTCATTCCTGCAAATTCAGCCAGTTTCATGCTAAGCATGAAAATCAGGCCTCCATCGTTCACATGTTTGACTTGGAAGAAGGCACCTCTGTCCTGTTTGGAGTAGACCATCCATTTTATTGATGCAACAAACTGCTACCTTCCCTTAAGAAGTGAATAAAAGCAGGTGGGAATGCTGGATACTTGGAGCCCTCCTAAGAAGCTTTGCAGGGTGGTTTAGTGAATATCTGCTGAGAAATTGTCAGCTGAAAGGTGGGAGGGATTCGTAAGGCAGTGTTTACGGGTTGTTGTCCTGGAGTGAGGAATAGGTCTGCTGTAGATCTGCTAGGTAGAATGCCTGCCTCCAGTGCATGATTATTCAAAGCAGATGGATGGCCTTGGGGAATGGGCTGTTGCAACCAAGGGTCTAACAACCCTCTCATCTGCTATTCTCATAGGCTTTACTTTCTTGGTCTTCTATGGCTTAAAAAGCTGACTTGGGTTTTTTTTTAGGTCCGCCTTTTGGGGGGGGGGGGGTGTCCCATTTCTGATCTGTTTTATTAGCTAATAGTTGCATGCTTTCAAAACCATTATGCAAACATCTTGTCTATAACCTCACTACCCTTTACAATTTTAATATATTAATCCTCAATAAGTGCTGTTTATTCCTGTGATGCAGGGAAATGCTACCTGCCAGACTGGGCATTGAGGCACTGAGAAGGTGTGGCAAAGCATAGAATTAAACACGGGTCTTCCAGCTCATGGGCTAAAATTCTGATTATGGGACCATTCTTTTACTGTCTTTCCTATAAATCACATGCACAAATACACGCACAAGGGATAAGTGTGATTATTTGACAGGAAGACGATGATTGCCAATTTGCAACGATACTAAAATAATCCTAGTGTTTTGAGAGTACCCAGAAATAGTCTCTCTCAGGTATTTCTGTGTCCAGCTGTGTGGCTTCACCTGTTTGAAGGCTGAAGGCTTCTTGGCAGACTGCACAGTGTTTGAGCTGGACCGAACAGCTGCCACTGCTGTGCTTTTAGTGAGATGGCCATTGTGAGATGGAATCTGCAGACTTTGGCATAATGCAGTGGGCCTAGGTCTGCCAGCTTTTTTGTGGTGAAGATGTGGCTCTAGTGGCCCAGGGTCTGTTTTATTCTTGTGATGCAGGGAGATGCTACCTGACAGACTGGGAGTCTGCTTGCCAATTTAGGTCTAATAACAAATCTAAGGTCTAAGCATTGTGTATCCATCTTGGTTATTTAGCTGTAAACGTGGTGCTGTACCTGCCTTGATGTACTTCCACAGAACTTGCACAAACAAAGATTTCCAGTGGTTGAGCTCCTTATCTTTTGGGTGTTCAATCTGGGGCACCTTTTAAAGGGGGGACTTCTTTTTTTCTCTCAAGGTTGCAGTTACCTAGCACTTTCTAAACACTGGGCCCTTTTCAGGTATTACATGTTGGACAGCTGAAAAGAGATGTGGCTGTTAGAAATTCAAGTCATAGTAATTTGAACTGCTAGGCAACTGGAAAAGCTAAGCCATATGTGATGCTTGTAGGTTGAAAATATCCTGCTACATGATCGCGGCCATTATGTCCTGTGTGACTTTGGAAGCGCCACCAACAAATTCCAGAACCCTCAAACCGAAGGAGTGAACGCGGTCGAAGAAGAGATCAAAAAGTAAGTCTGTCTGTTTGTCTGTCTGTCTTCTTTTTTTAACCCAGGCCTGTTTCCTTGCAAGGCTAATGCTTTCTGTACTGGAACCAAACTATGCTTAGGTCTGGCAAGGCGGATTCGATGCTTTGGAGGTAAAGAAAAAAATCAGCTTGGGAACTGCTTTGGGTTTGGTAGGACTTGTGTATTGATGGACACTGACCAGCTCTGGGATGCACTGATAGGACAGTGTGGTTGCAAGAGTCAGTCCCTCACTCCTGTCAACTGCAGAGACAGTGAATGACAAGATAATCCAATATATATTGCCAGCAGCCTTCCATGATCAAGGTGAGAGGAAGCTAGGCTATGCCATCTGTAAATCATAGATCCACTTGGATACAAAGTGTCATCTTTGGGGGGTCTCAGGCTGTGGCAGTCTGTTGCTTTCCTGGTATGCAGTGCTTGGCTTAAGATGATGCAGTTTCCACTTCCATTTGAATTGCAAAGTAACCTTCCTCCTGGTTATCATAACTGAACAGGAATTTCAGCATGGAAGGCTATTTATTAGAAGCTATGTACTTGTCTATTGGCTGAAGTCCCATGAGTGAGGACAAAGAAAGGGGCATGCAACTGTCTATGATATTTAAGAATAAGCAAATATTATGAATTCCCGCATCCCATTCTTAAGATAAGAATATATTTTCTATGTAAACTTTGGCTGTAGAAAGGATTTTGCTGCAGCCTTTGTTTTCCAGGAAATTTGTGGAAGTTAAGTTTTTACTTTTCAAAACCAGTTTCACTCTTATGTCCTATAAAAATCTAAATCTCTAAATTGAATTGGAACTATTTTAACTAGTTGAAAATTTCAGTACCTAGCCCATTTCCATTACTGCGAGGCAAAGTTGGAATAATTGAGGAAAACACTGTATAATTGGAATGAACTGATTTTCTTCTCTGACTGTGGCTTCAGTTCACTCATGGACCTTTCTGTTGTAGGTACACAACACTATCGTATAGAGCACCAGAAATGGTCAACCTGTATAGCGGCAAACTTATTACTACAAAAGCAGACATATGGGTATGTACAAAACCTATGTGGTATTCATAAAACTGACATGCACTCCCGGTTAAAAAAAACCAACCTGCAACTTAATTACATGCTAACTAATGGATAGACTTAAACACCACTTTGTGGCAGAGATGACCAAGCTTTGTGTAGAAGGAACTGTTATTTGACCTTTGGGTTGGGTTATTACAAATGTTGTTTCATATTTCCCAGGCTGATTCATGAGATGGTAATTGCCCACTCTATTAAGCTGCTGCCTTCTCTGTTCCCTTCATTGAGAGCTGGGTGCCGTTCTTGGCTGAACAGTTCATTGCGAGACCTAGTCTACTTTTAATGAATTGATAACCTCCAAGCTTTTTTATTTCACATAAAACCCAAACTTGATAGTGAAGATGACCCAAAGCAACCTCTGGCTCTGCATCTCGAACATGTGACATCAAAATTGGACAAAGTTTAAAAAAAAAAAAAAAAAAAAAAAATCCCAGTCAAAAATCAGACTGATACAAGGTCCTTCTGGGAAGAGTTAACTCCCTTTTGTTTCTCAAACCTGGCCAGGATATGGGCTTTGTACAGAATCCAGATGCGTTACCTCATTTTGGGTGATGCTTTTCTGTTTTTTAGTTCTGACTTATAAAACTTGATGTGACTTGCTTCCCAATGGAAGGTGAAACTATTGTATAATGTGTAACCATATAACCCAATGAAGTCTGGAGGGTTTATCTTCAAGTCAGAATAGGTAGACTTAAAACAGTCTTTGGTGGCTGTGTTGTAATGGCAATCTTGCAAAAGCAAGGAACAGAAGAGAATGAAATGCATCTAATGCTACCCTTGAGTGTATCTGAATGTTTTGCCAAGCTCTGAGTTAGATAATAGTGAGTGAGGCAGGTAGTGGCTGTGTCTGTGAGAAGGGTTGAACTGTATCCTCAACAATGCCCTGCATACACAGCTTGGTATATGTGAAAGGGGGAAGAAAACACTGGCACCATATAGTCTGCCTGGGAAAGAGACTACTTTCCTTCCTAGGATTTGCAAATGTGTAGTCCTAATTCAGGTTCTAGTAGTTCAGTGGGAATGCTTGCAAGATTGCTTGCATTGTATGCTAGTGTGCCCTAGTGGAAAGGGCAGTGGACTGGGAGCTAAGAAACTGGGGAAGGAATTACACAGCAGTAACAACATTACTAGCTTCTAGAGCCCTAGAAGTGGCCAGGGGAGAATTTTGCTGGCTCGGGCTTGGCACAAGACAACCAACCCACCACAGTTCTCAGCCTGGCATAGTCCTACAGAAATTCTGGGTGGCAGTGCCACCCATAAGCAGCAAAGTATGTGTCCTTCAGGACTGTCTTAATTGTGTTGGGGTCTGCACTGACTTCTGCTGCAGCTTGGAATCGGAAAGGCACAAAGGTTAAAGCATGACATTGGATGCTTCTGTTCCCATCTCTCTGTCTTTGCCGCTCCTTCTGCTGTTTCTTCTCTTCTGCCTGCCTCGGTGTGTGACAGCAACTGGCTGCCACTGTGTAGGGTGCTGCACACAATGGCTCTGACTTCAGCTGGAGTGTCCAGCGCCACTGCCATAAGAATCCTTCCACACACAGTCTGTGTATTTCATGTGGCTGTCCCATAAATTGCACTTGAAGACCTTGGGTGAATTTTTAAACAAGCCTGTTCAGTGGAATTTTGCATCACTCTTGTGTGCAGGTAGCCATAGGCTGGCCAGGGCTAGGAAGAAAGATGCCACTCATTGGGATGTGTGGCAGTGCAGGCTGGTATCGACAAGCTTTGCATCTTCTGAAACAGCTGGTTCTGGTCACTGCCAAGGACTCCCCTTGATTTATGCCTATGTTTTTACCAGCACAGCTACTGTAGTTAGGGGCATGATTCCTGCCCTTTGACCCTCCAACCCAAAACATGACACTGAAGCTGATAAAAAACCAAGTGTAGATGTATTTGTCACTATGAAAATGGTTACAGCTACAGAGCTGATGCCTGAGACCATTGTTTCACACAGACAAGGAGAGTATGGCCAAATTAAATCCTGCTGAATATGGTACAGTTTCCTGGTGTAGAGAAGATCTAGATCTTTTTGGAAATGCAGAGTGGTAGAACACAGCTGGCTGTGACAACAGGAATTGCTTTGGGTAAAGAAACCATTGTGGGCAAAACTCCCAGGCACAAAATTAACCCTGAGTAGCATGCAATTGTCCTTTCTACTGGGGGGGGCAGTGGCAGGTGTGCATGAAAAATGTATTAAGGCCAGGTGCCTACAAGCTTTTGTTTTCCCACAGGAGCAGAGAAAGAGCCTGAGCTATGCTTAGATTAATTTGAGGTGAGGTAAAATAGCTGTATCTGAGTCCCCTCCGTAGGTGATACAGATAGAGGATTAGCCACAGTCTAAAAACCTTGGTATGTGTCTGACTTTCTTGCACCTTTTAATTCCTGGTGTGTTATCATCACAGCACCCCTGTGAGACAGGGAAATGTCCGTATCCTCATTTTACAGATGGGGAGCTCAAGTATAGAGACTAAATGGGTAGCTCAAGGTCATTCCAGAAACCTGTAGCAGAGCCAGAAACAGAACCCTGACTTTAAGTTCCATGTTCCCACCCAGAGCAATGGACCATCCTGCCGTTTAATCGATAGTGGCCATGAAGGTATGTGTGCTGCAGTTCCACTGTGCTGATGGTTTCTCCCTGCTTTGTCTTCTCCTCAGGCCCTTGGCTGCTTACTGTACAAATTGTGCTATTTCACTTTACCGTTTGGTGAAAGTCAGGTGGCCATCTGTGATGGGAACTTCACCATTCCAGACAACTCGCGCTACTCCCAGGACATGCATTGCCTCATCCGTGAGTACCTTGGCGACAGCATCATAGTTGGCTTTTAGGTTTTTCCCCTTAAACTGCTCGCTGCTCTGTTTGCAAACCCTCAAATATCTATACTAAGAACCCGGAGCTCTCCACTCCACAAGGATGAACAACCTGGACTTATAGCAGCTTGAGCAATAGCTGTGTGAAAAAACAGTTATGACAAAGAGGCTTCTGTTTGGAGGGGTGTTTGCGATTGGTGTGGGAAACCAGGGAAGTAGACAACCACTGGGTTTTTAAATTCTTCCAGGAACTTCCACAACAAGCCTCTTTATGCAGAGAAGTGTCTGCAGTAATAAATTCATTTGCATTAGGAGCTGAAGGGAACAGCAGTGACTTAGGCTACTGATAAGAATTCATCTCCTGCGAATTGAGAAACAGGACTGAAATGATTATAAATAACCCACTGACTAAAGTGAATGTGTAATTAAGGGTACAATGCATTTCTGTTGGCAAAGCTGCAGCAGCTTGCCTCCTTTCACTTCACGTGGGGTTTACCAGCCGAAATCTTGATTAGTGCAGACTCGTATGTGTTATCGAAATAGCCTGGCACTTCTCCACCTGTCCACATGCCCAGATGTGGGCTGTTGGCCTTTCTCCCTGCGAGGGAAGGGCCAGCCATGTCCAGAGACTGGATTAGGTGCCTCTAGGCTCCATTTAGTCAAAATAATTCCCATGACCAAGGAAGGCTACAGGGTTCAGGAGCCTTTCTCTTGGCTTCTCTTCTCCTCTGCTTCAGAACCTGTGGTAGGAACACCTTGCTTTCAACTGAGCTGTTCAGCTCTTTATCAGTATCACTTCAGTATCCTGCCAGCAGATTCTGCTAACTGAACAGGGCTGGGTAATCCCAGGCTCTCAGTCCCCTTTGCACTTACTTGGAACAGATGTTACAGGCTTGCTAGCTGCATTCAGGGGTTGCACATTTAAACTTCAATGTGTGCATGACATGAGTTTATTCAAGTGACAGATAATGCAAATAGCCTTTATTTACACTTTCAAGGAGAGATGGGTTTGGTGCTGCTTGAAACTCCTAAACCCATCCCATATAGTTATCACTGGCATGACTAGTTCTTTCAGGTCTGTGATGTCCTGGGTGCTGTACGTGATCCAAGCAGGAGATGGATCTTGCCTCAGACCGGTTATAATTTAAATAGGCTACCATTGTTTTATAGTTGAAGAAGGGAAGTGACTGACTCTTGCACAAGCAACCTGCTACCTCTTATTGTAGACATGCAGTCAGAGCTTCCACAGGAAGATAAGTGTGCTCACTTTTGCTTGCTTAGGAAGCAAATGAACTTGGATTTAATTAAAGCTAGCCCTGCTACCACTGCCTGCAAGGAGAGCTTTATCACTGATCGCAACAAATGAGCATTAGGTCTCTAGGACTAAAACTGCAGACGTGATGTAGGTGTGCCAAGCCATGACTTAAATTATTGGCAAGCATGGAGCAGGATTTTGTACCCTGGTCTGGATAGGTAGGTTTCATGTAGTCACAGCAGGGTGCAGCTTGGTCATATGATCATTTGAGAGTTTGCACCTTTTGGATGTTTCATAACCTAAGTCTTCCGATGCATCTTTTTTTAGGGTATATGCTTGAACCAGATCCTGACAAGAGGCCCGATATTTACCAAATCTCATACTTCGCTTTCAAGCTAGTAAAGAGAGAGTGCCCAGTTCAGAATGTACAGGTGAGTTGTTGCGGTCTGTTCTGGCAGAGTTGAGGGTGGGTAGAGTGAACTCCAAGGGATTTGTGGTTCATTCCTTTTAGTCATTTAATTCAGGCAGTTAGAGAAACACCTTGACGTAGTGGAGGAGTTGGCTGTGGTGTGGCAATGGGTGACGAGCAACTGCAGTAAGCACCATTGCTTGCCACAAAGATGCTTCCTCCCTAGTGAGTAATGCAAGCGGATCATGGGTTAAAACTTTCTGGGTTTTTAAGGTGCTGGGCAGAAACTGCTTCCTGCATGGCAGTACCTGTTCATCGCTGGGCCCAAAACCAGCAGTGGAAAGGGTGACTAGGAGAGTTGCGGGCTTCTAACTGGCATGAAAGTGCATGCAGCTAGGATAAATCCCTGGAGGTTTGGCTCTTCTGGCCTCAGAAAAAATCAACCAAATCTCTCTTGCTGAGTATTAGCAAACAGTGAAAACATCTCTCTCTTACACGTCTACTCCCTTCATTACCATTTGCTCACCTTTCAAGAACGTCCTTTTATGTATGCTTCAGTGCTGGTTCCAAGGCAGTGGTTACAGTGATGTTACAGTGAGATAGGTGTGTCTGACATTTAGTACACCTGTTTATTAGACTGTGGTTTCCGTGTGGGGCTGACAAGTGTTTTACAGCATAAGGGATGTTTGGGTGCTACAGAACTTTAAGTTGCCTAAGGATTTGGGCACTTCATTTTTTTTTCTTCATGCACTTCCAATTTACATTCCTTTGTTCAATGGGATTTTGTTGTTTATTAACGTAAGTGAAGTTTTCCTGAAAAGTATGAACAGATGTTGCCCATAACCTGTTGCCTTTTTAAAGGACTCCCTTGTGTTTATCAACCACTTATCAGCCCTCATGTTTAATTGCCCTCAAACTCCAAGCATGGTTATGATATCTTGATTATAAGACTGTCTTAGGTTTTTTTGTTGTTCCCCCCCCCCCCCCCCCC